CACCTGTTGTGGAAAGAGCAGTACGACTTGATAAAATCACCATGCTTACAGCACTCGCAAATTGCGTAGCAAGTTTTACTGTATTGATATTGCTTGACAAAGAACGTTGCTGAGATGTTTCTGTTGGCTGGATTTTCTGCATAAAAGAGTGCTTCTCTCGCACTGTGGGTATAATTTGTTTTGCACTTTGCCTAAAAGAATAGCTTTGAGACAACGTTGTTGTACCAAAGTCAGGTCCAGCTGATTTGGAGAGGGAAGGACCACTTGATGAAGTCATTAAGCTCGCTGTATTCGAGAAGTCTTCCCTGAATGTACTTTTATCGAAGTAAAAGTCATCGGTAACCTCGTTCATTCTCGTAGATGCAAACACTGTGACACTGCTTAGTTTGGGGTCCTTTGTCAAAGTTTGCGTCGAAGTCATTGCTAAGGAAGATGGAGAGTCCCTCGTTCTTTCACTCTGTTTGTTTGAACTTGTCAAGTCAATATCGTCGTCTTTGAGTTCTACCGGACAAATAAAAGGACTCTCATCTTCATTCGGCTTATCTGTAAATCACAGAAAAAGAAAAAACAAACATCAGTTAACACTTGTTTCGAGGCGCAGTGGGGGTATGTTTAACGCTTTGGATACAAGACTGGCTGGTGTTGTGTTGTGTTGTGTTGTGTTCTTGGACGAGAGAACTCAACTTAAGAGGGCTTTCTTCTTCTTCTTTGCGAAGGTGTATAATGTGCAAGCGAATTGCTAGAGCAAGTTGTAAAAAGCTAGAAGGCTAAGTAATTGACCTGCAACCCATCCTGAGAACTGGACTTGGAGGAAACCCTGAAGTTAAGCCCCTGAATGATGTGCTCTCTGGCTCCTAAAACCCATTACGTCATGCAGCAAAGTTGACTATCCCTTTCATGCACCCGGTAAAAACGTTTATGCACGCCTTTCCTGCTTATGTTGAAGGACTTTTGTGGTGTTCTATTAATTTCTCAAGCGGTTTTCCTAAATAAGTGGAACCTTTTGTGATCGTAAAATGAATATCTTAGCTTACCTCAATGTACGTTTATGACTTAGATTTTTACGTGTGTACAACGCCTTATGCATCCCGTGGCGCAACGAGGACNTGTTCTTGGACGAGAGAACTCAACTTAAGAGGGCTTTCTTCTTCTTCTTTGCGAAGGTGTATAATGTGCAAGCGAATTGCTAGAGCAAGCTGTAAAAAGCTAGAAGGCTAAGTAATTGACTTGCAACCCATCCTGAGAACTGGACTTGGAGGAAACCCTGAAGTTAAGCCCCTGAATGATGTGCTCTCTGGCTCCTAAAACGCATTACCTCATGCAGCAAAGTTGACTATCCATTTCATGCATCTGGTAAAAACGTTTATGCACGCCTTTCCTGCTTATGTTGAAGGACTTCTGTGGTGTTCTATTAATTTCTCAAGCGGTTTTCCTTAATAAGTGGAACCTTTTGTGATCATAAAATGAATATCTCAGCTTACCTCAATGTACGTTTATGACTTAGATTTTTACGTGTGTACAACGTCTTATGCATCCCGTGGCGCAACTAGGACAGATGATGATGATGATGACGATGATGATGATGATAATGTTCAAGGTGACAAATTTGATAAAGCCTAGCTGTTTCTTAGTCTAAGCTGGGCATAAATAGTAAAATAAGATAACTAAGCTTACCACCGCTTTCATCATCATTGTCATTGTCATTGTCATTGTCGTTGTCGTCGTCGTCGTCGTCGTCATTACCTTTATCTTTCGGAAGTTTTTGGCATAAATTCATAGCTTGCAGTATTTCAGAAACTTTGAGACTCCTGCGATAGAGCATGAAGCACTCCAGTCTGCCGAGGAAGGGCTCTAGGGAATGTTGTTCATTGGAATCTCCCGTGACTGATTCCATGTTGTTGCCCAAATAGACGTATTCAGGCTCCTCCACTTCCAAAGTACCCAGAAATCCACTGTAAGGTTCACCTTC